TTTTTTTCTGAGCAATGCTATTTGATCACACTAAAATTGCATATAGCGTTAATGTGACATTAAATAATAAGTAGAATTAAATGACTTATTTAATTTCACCTTTCATTTAGTCTATCATTTACGCCATCCATATTGAGGTTATAATTCCAGTGTAGATAAATAGCATTATTCTCTTATTTTTTATTTTATTTTTTGAACTTCTAGAAAAAAAAAATAGCCAAAAATGCTCCAAATTAACCACCTCACTTCCAAATTAATGGCCGTTGGGGGAGTTAGCAGCCTATCAGACACCTTTAATGCATTATGGATTGTTTGGCATCCTCCCGAATTCAACTGCATCAATCAATGCTCTCTTTCTCCCTCTCTAGCTTTCTGTCACTATATAGTTTATAGTTGTACACGTACAGCTGAATGAATGTCGTACCTAAAGGGTCACGAATTTGAAGTTTCTGTGACCCACAAAAAGAAAAATTCTTTGTGAGCTCTTCTTCTAATTTCACAAAGCAAATGCATGCAATTCTCATACTTTTCTGGGTTTTTCCCCAGTAAATTTGTACTTGAATCTTCCTGTAAAACAAGAATGCAGACCCAAATATTTGGCAAAATTTTATGGGATTCTGGAGTTTTGACTTTTGCTTTGTAGTAACCGACACGTTAAGGTTTGTGTTGTGGAATTTATTTTCCTTCTTATCTGCTTGGTAGATGAACAAACTCTGGCGGAATTTACAATGTTTCTTGTATTTATATAATTAAATTGCAATTTGATTGTAAACTGAGCTTGATCTTTTTGTTTATAAAATAATAATCTGATCAATCATATCTGATTGTGTTATGTCTTTTAATATTAATTTAGGAATTAAAAAGAGAATGGATTAAGGGAGATTTCGAATTCTGAGTGGATAGAGATCAAAAAATTAGTTCAGATTTAGGTAAAATCTTCACTAATAAAGGTTCTACTATGTAGCTGCCCTAAGTATCTGGGAAGTGGAAATTTGAGGGTGCATTGGTGAAAAATTAGTTGTATATGATTGAGAAAGCAACCTGAAAAAAAGTCGTAAAAGAAATCTGCAGTTGGGAAATTTTGAGCTTTTCCTTCTGCAGGGGGAGAATATATATATATATACGAGCACGTGTATGTATAACAAGGTGGAGGAATTTAAATCTAGTTTAAGAACAGAAGTAAAGGCAAAGGGCGAGTTGTTTCAAGAGCCTGCTTTTTTGGGAAATTTTTCGAGGTGAAAAATAAATTTATTCTTTAGCAAAATTTCAGATTTTTGGATTTTATTTGGAGTATTAATTTATTGGTTTTGGTTTTTATTTTACTTGGGAAAAGATGGTTGGCAGTATTAAGGTAATGAGCAGTGAGTCATATTTGAATGGAGCTATACAGAACCACAATGGTACAGAACAGAAGCTCGATGAATTTCGTCGATTTTTAGGCAAGGCCGATGGTGATCTATTGAAGATTGTTGGAGTAGGAGCTGGTGCATGGGGAAGTGTGTTTGCAGCTTTGCTTCAAGATAGCTATGGTCAATTTCGAGATAAGGTTCAGATTAGAATATGGAGAAGGCCAGGACGAGCTGTTGGCAGAGCCACAGCAGAACATTTATTTGAAGTGATCAATTCCAGGGAAGATGTATTGAGAAGGTTGATAAGGCGCTGTGCGTATCTGAAGTATGTTGAGGCACGATTGGGTGATCGTACGCTTTATGCAGACGAGATTTTGAAAGATGGATTCTGCCTGAACATGATTGATACACCATTATGTCCTTTGAAGGTTGTAACTAATTTGCAGGAGGCTGTTTGGGATGCTGATATTGTAATTAATGGATTGCCTTCGACTGAAACACGTGAAGTTTTTGAAGAGATTAGCAAGTATTGGAAAGAGAGAATCGCCATGCCAATCATCGTATCATTGGCAAAGGGCATAGAAGCTGAACTGGACCCTGTTCCTCGTATCATTACTCCTACGCAGATGATTAACCGGGCAAGTAAGACTTAACTTTTCCTGTTTAGCTTAATTTGTCAATAAGTTAGCTTATACATATTCTGATAGCAATTTGTACAGTTGCTCATTTCAACTTCCATGTCAGACTGCCTTCATGAGATACTTAAGAGTTTGTGAATTGTCTGAAAACTTAAGAAAGTGGGAAAAAAAAAAAAAA